CAATTGTCATATGGTAGTGTCTATTTTTTAGGTCTGTGGAGTCTCTCTTAGGCTCATCATCAGTCCCTGGAAAGAAAGAACTGTATTTGATAACATTCTGCATCTTCAGTGAATCGCAGAGTGTCATGTGTATATAGCAGATGCCTGTTGTGGGTACTGATGGTGGTGTGCACCTCCCATGATGTGATTCATAGAATCCCTGAAACTATAATTTAGTGATGTTTATTATTCTACTCCTACTTGCTAAATCCCTTACTATCAATGAACAAAGGAGTAAGGTACCCTGGCTATTACGTCTGATGTTCCCTTTTAATCTGTCATATATTTAAGAATTGCCAGAAATTTACCTCTCCAATATGGGTAAACCTTCTGGTTTCTTCCTAGTGCCTGGACATTAGCAGTGGAAATTGTGATGGGAGAACTGGAGGTGTGCAGGTCACCATACTATCTCAGTACAAAGTATTACAGGGAGCTTCTACCACATCCATGTATAACCAAAATGAAGAAGCAGTCCAGGCAACCATTGCCATGATCCTAGACATTGAAATCTCTGTGCACACAAGATACAAATCTTATACATAGAAATACCGAACCCTCACTGAAAAATAGAGATGGCACACTGACTTTAGTTTATACAGACATAGGCCAGCTCACCATGGTGAAAAAAAACAACATTCTGAATTGAGGCAAAAATGTTTGACACATTTCCCACCCTCACCCGCTTAAACCTGGATACTGTGGCGAGCACCAGAATAACCAAATAAGATGATACTGGGGAAAGATTCTGGGGGTATAGGTTAATTATATCTTTAGTAGTTTCCCAAAATATAAAGATTAACAAGGACTTGCAGGTTGTATCCGAGGATCTGGAATTTATGTAGTAATGAGGGTAAAGCCAGGGAAGCCGACATGTCTCCCTAGACCAAGAGGATGAGCATAGGGTGAAACAAAGGAAACCAAACCAGAAGGATTATGATGCGTATCTGTTCTAGATTGCAGCAGACAGCAAATGGGCTGACAATGAACAGATGGTTTAGAACAACCTTTGGTAGGTAAGTGGTTCCATGAACTAAAAGACACTGAGTCTGGTTACTAACACACATGACCAAGAATATGTCAATATGAGCTCGGTCCTTTTGCTGAGATAGCACACTTCATGGGATAGGCAGGGTTTATGGAAGGGGAAAAAAAAAAGACAGGAATGCTATTCTTACTATTTTTGTGTTTACTCACCATGAGTATCTGAGGAAGAAATCCAAAGTGACTCAGGGAGGATGTGAAAAATCTATTCAATGAAGCTAAGTAATGAGAGTAAATTTGGAAAAAGGAAGGAACAAGGAAAGGAAGAGAAGGAGAGAAAATAATTATACTTGCAGAAGTTCCTTGCCTTGCACAAGGCTTGTTATATAGTAGTAATGGTATTTCAAGTCAGTTGGAGATTAGATAAATTATTGGGTTGTCGGAAAAGTCATGACGTATTTTTTCTATGTTTTTCATTGCAAAAACATGCCATGACTTTTCCGACAACCCAATAGAAAAAAAGAAAAGAATCTGTGATTTATCTGGGCTGATGTAATTTCTCTCTTCGACCCTTGGCTGCTAAAAATGTCATAATTTACCCCACGATGAGAAACTCAAAATATAAACACTTAATTGAAATAGGCTGACGTTTCCTAAGGGTACTCATTTTAGGACTAGGAAGAAGAGAGAGAAGAAAAGATGGAGAATGAAAGAGAAGAGAATTGATAGCTCATTGATCTATTTCCAATCAAAAATAGCTTGAGTTGCTCAGCCTCTGTGGTGTGGTTGCCAAGCAAAACATAGAGAAGTTGACTTGCTACACTCCACAGAGAGGCAGCTAGCTCTGAAAGGCCAACTAACAAAGGTAAGAAAGATCTTCTCAGTAAAGTATCTCTAAGGGGCCATGGTTTCTGTGTTCATCAAGAATCCCTGAAAACCTAGAAATTTAGAAGGAAGTCAGAATTGATTTAATCCTTTTTACTATAAATCTCATTTCTGAAAATGATTAGCAGAGGCAGAGACATAAATGGTAAAGTCTCGATCAGGGAAAATGCTGTCAGCATATCATCTAGATAGATTAGAAAATGAACGCTCAGGTTTCTGTGAAGGAAGACTAATGACATTAAGTCAAGATGAAATAGAAAGGAGCATTGCATGGACTCAAAAATCATAAACCATGAGCTCGCCCTGACAGAAGACCCTCAGTAACTTTCCGAACTGGAAAATTATCAGGACTTTGGTCTGAGAGTATTTTCTTAGGCTTCATTTGGAGTCCCTGGCTTGTTTGGGTTTGTTCTGAAGTTCTGGAAATTGCTTTGCCAAGGTTCTAACATTTGTATAAAAGTGAGGTACTTCTGCCTACAACTTTCGGTGCAATCAATTGCACACTCAGAAACAAGAAAATGAGGGTTTGGTTCACTAAAACAAATAAACATTTAAGATACTTTTATACTGTTCAATCATCTGATTTTTGAAGTGTCACAATTCCAGCGCCTTTCAGAAATAAGGCAGAACTGTTGCCCTGAAACCAGTGGTGGCTGAGACCAACGTTCTTTGTTTAAGTTAAGATCAAATAGTGAAGCGAGTATATAAATTCCTGCCAAATAAAGCTAAAGCAGGCCTTCTGCTCTGTTTGGTAGGGGAACAAGCCTGTACATCTGCTTCACATGTGGTATATCACTTGATTACTTACACTGTATCTCCATTGGAAACACACACGCACATGCACTCACGCACGCGCACGCCTCCATTCTTTTAGAATAAGCCAGTAGAATAACCTCAAATCTAAATATCAGTCTGCTGCAGTTTCTCAGGGATCTGATAGAATAAATCTATTGTGTTCTCATGCAGGATCTTAAGTTGCCTCTTTCAGTGACACACAATGATCAACTGAAAATTGTTCCCATCATCTTAAAACTTGAGAGTCTCTCTGTGGACTGCCAGTCTTTCTTATGTAGGGGGCATTGGGGTTTCTGACATTTGATCTTAAGGTGTTGGCCCTGACGCTAGGGCAGGAATGGTCTCCAAGCTTCATAACACACTACTGATTTTCATGAGAAATAGGTCTATTGATCAAAATTCAAGGTAAATCTTTATCCAATTTCAGAGTTGGAATGGTTATGTGAAAAGTATTTCACATCTTCCACACTCCCAACCCCCTTATTATGGCTATAACATTAGGAGATAAAAATATACTGTTCCTCATGTCAAATTTTCAAAATATGCAATGTTCAATAGATAGATTGGTAGTTAGGTAGATAGATAGATACTTACTGTTCAATACTAATGCTTCTGACTTAAAATTTTAAGGTCATTGTCTCCCTTCTGACACCTCTTACTACATCAACATCCCATTATATCATTATAGACTCATGAAGCAATGTACTTTTACATTTTGCAGGATAATGACTCTTTTGTATTTCAGTTTTTATAATAATATAAATCTTGAATTGCAATTTGCATATCTTTTATTTAGAAAAAGAGACCCCTATTTAAGACTGTCATTTTAATACATACGTGTTAAAGTGGCTTTTTTTAAAGAAATGCACCAAAATATTCCAATTTATTCTTTCACTGAATAACTCAATCTGATTCTACCTCTGCTGCTGCATCAATAAATTAGCAAACGTCCTGAACAATATATTTCCAACAATGATGGCTCAACTGCTTAGTCTTCTGTGCCAGTAGGTTCTCTGCCTGTTAGACGTCCAGTAATAGATTTGTAATGGCAATTTGACAATTTGAACTAGATGTCAGGCTGATTACACACACACACACACACACACACACACACACATTCACACACACACACACACGCATTCTCACTCACACACACATGTGTATATATACATACAGTAGTCTCCCCGCCTTATCTGTGGGGGATACATCCCAAGACCCCCAGTGGGTGCCTGAAACTGTGGACAGTACCAAACCCTATACGTACTATGTGTTTTCCCATACACACATACCATTCTCCTTCAACTCTTCTGGAAATGTGGCAGAAACTTCTTCATCAGCAGACATAGGCTCTCCAGTAATTTGTATATTTTTCAGTCCAAATGTATTCCTGAATCTGTGCAACCATCCCTTACTTGCAGTAAGTGGCTTGGTGTCACTTGTTTCAGGGGATCCCTTGCTGAAATCTTCATGTAAGCTTAATGATTTCTGGCACAACTTGTTGCTGTCAACTGGAACACGTTTTCTGTTCATGTCTTCCACCCACAAAATGAATGCCTATCCATCTTAACTAAGCACTTATCATGCACTGTGGTGGTAACATTTGTAGTTTGAGGTGCGACAGTAAAACTAGCACAAGTTTTTTTTTTTTCTTCCTCACAATTTCATTGCTAGAAGATTCATTCTTACCATTGATCTTAGCAACCTCAGCATATGATTTTTTTTCTTTCCTTATAAGGTCAAGAACTTTCACCTTTTCACTTAAAGGAAGCACTTACCAGCTTCTCTTTGGTATATTCAAATTGCCAGCATTACTACCCTTGCACATTGAGGCCATTATTAAATAAAATAAGGGTTATTGGAACACAAGCACTGTGATACCATGACAGTCAATCTGATAACCAAGGTGGCTCCTAAGTGACTAAGAGGCAGAGGGCATATACAGTGTGGAAATGCTGGACAAAGGGATGATTCAGGTCCTAGGCAGGATGAAGTGAGACCTTGTGAGATTTCATCATGCTACTCAGAACAATTTAAAACATGAATTATTTCTGGAATTTTCTATTTAATATTTTGGGACCTTGGTTGACAATGAGTATCTGAAACAACATAAGGCAAAACCCCGGATAAAAGGAGCACTACTGTATATACATCTTTTTGCTCATTTATTTATTATATGTAAAGATGATATTATATATATATTTGATATATATATTTGTTTATATGTTTCATATAAAGAGTACACTGCCTGCTCAACTTTTTTACTTTTTGCTTTTTGTTTGTTTGTTTCTTCCCTGTGGTAGGACTATCTCTGTGAAGCAGTCTGGGAAATTTGTCACTGTGACAGACGTTGGGTAGATGTGAGGGAGCCTTGAAGAGACAGGGCCTGGGCAGCATCCTGTCCACGTCTGCACAGCTGGAAGAGTGCTGCACCATCTAACATCCCCGATGCCTATCTCAGTGCCTGGCACACAGACAGTGCCTACCAAATGTTTGTTGAATAAACAGGTGAATGAAAAAATGAAAGGGGCCCCAGGACTCTTTCTTGTAGATTGACAAACATCTGTCCCTTTTTCCTCTGTGGCACACAGCATCGATCAGTTGGCTTTATTCTGTTCTTATCCATTCTATGCAAGAAGGGATTGGGGAAGTCAAGGCATAAAACCATTGTCGAAAAGCTACCTTTTGCAGCAAAGCAAACCCACCCCCCAACCACCCACCCCCACAAAAAAGGAAAAGAAGAAAAGAAAAAGTTTAACCATCTACGTTCACACATCCCGGTGACAAAACTGAACCAATTGCTTATGAGTATCAACTAGCTGCTAAAAGAAGGCTCAGTGTAGTGTGGCGCTCTGAACTGGGGCTGGGAAGCCACACAAAATTTTAGTTTAAATCCTAACTTTTCCATTTCCTAGCTGTTTTAATTTCGGCAAGTTTTTTCAGTTCTCTAAGCCTTAATTTCCTGACTGGTGAAGTGGGGATAATAATACCTGCCTTACAGGACTATTGTGAAGATTAAATGTGACAGTATGTATGAAAATGTTTTGTTAGCCCATGTTATGTTTGTAACATGTTTGCTTCCATTCCTACCATCCTCTCTTCCCCCTGCCACCCAGTTTCCACGTATTTACCCTTTCTTCCTGGAAAAAACAGAAAACTCAAATGTTACCTCAAACATGGCCAGAATGAAGTAGAATAGCCAAAGAGAAGTGGACGAAAAGAGCCAGAGCAGAAAACCAATCTAATGCTCTAAGGGAACCGTCTTCTTCTGAGCCCTTCAGCTATCCCATGCCCCTTGGACTAGGACATGCACCCTGGACACTCTAAGAGGTCCACATTTGGCCAACCTGGCTGACAGTGACGCTGTGGGGAGCTTTGCAACCCCCATAAACATAGGCAATTAAGCCCCTAAAAGCTCTTAGGCTTATTGCCCAGTAAATTCACAATGAATAGTAACCTTAATAAATGTTATAAATCTCACCTCAGAGCCAACAGGAAATTCAAACTTTTGCATGTGTGGGAGCCAAAGTGCTGCTGAAACAAAAGGGAGGTGTGTGGACAAGGAGAACATTGTGCTCAGTCCTCATCTCCCCTGGCAGCGCCAGAGCGCCCCAGGCCTGGGAAAGGCCCTTAATTGTATTTTGTGAGGCAGTTTTCTGGTCTCCTCACTCCTCCTTTTCCTTCACCTGCCTTAACTCCTTCATGTCCCAGTGGCCGGAAAGGTAATCCATCCATATATATCTCCTACTGATTGAAATAAATGATGGAAATAGTTGATGGGGCCAAATTATAGACAAGATGCTTTTTTAGGTCCATGTTTCAGTCAGAAGCCATTTTAGAAACTTAACTAAACCCTAAAACTGAAACTTAAACTCAGTGTTATAAAAAAAAAAGGGGGGTGGGAGGGGATATCAGAAAAGAGAAATCACTGGATATTTTGATCCGCACCCTCACTAAAGGGTGTTAGTTTTAATAAACAGTCACAATTTGGGGCTGTTATGAACCATAAGGCACACTCCTGGCCATGTTTCCAATTTCCTCTCTTGCCTTTACTGCTGTTATATTAAGGTCTGTGGTAAGGCAAAATGTTTATTAAAAAAGGTGAGGAGAGCAATATTCCAGATTAGATTATTTCACCTGTTCTAACTATGTACCAGCCAATCAGAAATCTTCACCCAAGGGTTTAAGAGCAGCAGCCCTCCCACCTCTGGGGCTGAGGGAGGGAGGGTTGCAGCCTGTGGTTACAAAGTGAATGCAGATTAGGCCATTTTAATTACTGACTCTAACTGAATATGGAATACATTTTCCAGTCACAGAGAGGGGCAAATAAATGCATCTGGAGCCTCCTCCATCATAGAGATAATTACACTGGGATTGAAAAACATCTCGGGAGCAATGAGCAATGAGGACTCAAGTGATGGAACAGTCTTCTGAGTACACATCCTTCATGTCATGAGGGGTTAAGGTGGAGGAGTCTTTGAGTGGCTGCCTACTAAAAGAAAATATTTTTTCTTTGAAGACCCAATTCATATAGAAAATCCTTCTGGAGCAAAATGGGGGGTGGGGATGCTCAGCACATTGGAAATTACCTAGAACACGGTGCAGCCCTCACACAGCAAAATCCCATTAAAGCAACACATTTCTTTGATTCTCCTGGGGGGCGGGGGGTTCTTTAAGACAGGCTTTCTTACAGTGAGTCTTTGGGGACTTCTACTTCCTTTCATTGTTTCTGAAATTTATCTAATTGTGGAGTTGCTGGAAAGTACTTTTATATATTAAATGAATTGCCTATATTCCCCAATGTTAACACAGTTTTTTATACTCCTTGCTTCTCTTCTTTCATGTTGGTAGGTACATGATGCTTCTATTCTCAGCCAACACTTAATTGGGATTTTGTTGAATAGTGTTATTAAGGTTAGGATATATTACTTGACCCATGGCCTAGCTAGGTATGCATAATAATAAGCTGTGTTATAGTATCATTCTATCGAATTTATTTGAGAAACATGAATGTTTAAATCCTTAACACAAGCATGCTTCTTACATTTCCCCACATTCAAACACATCGGGCCTGCTCACAAGAGCAGCCTTTAGGTTAGTGCTGCCCAATAGAAATATAGTGTGCACCACAAATGTAAGCCACATAGGTAATTTTAAATGTTCCAGAGCCATATTACAAACATAAAAAAGAACACGTGAAATTAATTCTAATATGTTATTTAGCCCAACATTTCTACAACGTTATTATTTTAACATGTAGTCAGTATAAAATATTTATTAACGAGATATTTTAACACTCTTTTTCATACTAAGTCTTCAAAACTCATTTTGTATTTTGCACTTAGAGCACATCTCAGTCTGGACTAGCCACATTTCAAGTGCTCAAGAACCACTGTTGCTACCGTATTAGACAGTACAGCTGTAGACTGTCAAAATTTCTAATTATTTAAGTTTATCTTAGTCCATCTTTCCTTCTATTAGTTTGGTATATATCAACACTACCATTTTCTTACTAACTGCATCTGCTTTAAAGCCTCACATGACCTATAAGTTTTGAGTAAACCCAGGTACCTATCATGTAACAACAGACACTTGTGGTTTCCAGCGAGCTGAACCTGATACTTCCCAATGTTTACTCTGAGAACATAAAGTCCTCATCTTTTAAGATGCCTGTTTTCTTCATGTGTGTTCACAGGAGTGCCAACCTACTCCCGCAAATCATCACAGAGAAGAGGAGCTGCTAACATGGGAATCAGAAAGAAAACCATCCACAGTCTGTAGCTGGGGTTTTTGTTGAAGCAGGACACCAGGCTCCACCCCCACCCGTCTCTGCCTTGTTCCTTCAGGGCAGTCTCAAACCCTGGGCTCGCCCTGTGCTGAATCAATTTCTGTGTTTGCTAATATTTCCCTTGTCCTTCTGCTACATGTTCAATCTGACAGGCTGTCACCATGAGTAAGTAATTCAACACTGTCTTCACTTTGAGATAATCAAGAGCTCAGGGGGTAGCTTTTTAAGTACAAACTTTAAAAAATATATTAAATTCCAAAAACATATGTTTCTTCCTTTCTCTCACCCCCCCACAAGGGCATAAAAAAAATACCTTTGTAATTGTTTCCCTAGAAAAGACTGCCTGCAGTCCACTATAACAGGAGCTTTAAGATCCCCATCAATGTAAATGAATGTGCCCTCCTGGTTTTATAGAGGTAAAGAGCCCAAAACGTTCAGAGAACCAACAGTGATCTGGAGGACCAGCTTGTCAGTGGGCAAATGGACTTGTGAGTATATTATTTCCAAATATATTCTAGATTTCAAAATATTCTATTATGCATAAACCTCATGCTAAGCTTACAGTCTTGCTACTTCAGAAGCCCATTCATCTAAATAGAGTTTTTTGATATCATGTTTCTCGAAATAGTTGATCTGGTCAGCAAAGACCTCAGAATATTGGCTGTTTGTGAAAGAAAGTTCATGCAAAGAAAGAGCCAAGAATAACTAAAGCAGAGGTTGAAAATTTAGGTTTGGTGAGCAAAGGGCTCTTAGGCTCTTAGGTGTCTTCATTGATTTTTCAACATTGTATTTTCCTTTCACGTGTGATACAATAATAGATGGCACTTAATTAAATACTTAAGCTAATTTTTATTAAAGAGAGAACATAAAATATGAAGTTTAATTTTTAGTGCGTTCTTTTTCTCTCTCAGTTACCCATATCTGGGTACATGCCATTATAACCAGTACAGCCATTATACAAGATGCCAACACTCACCTGGTAACAACTACTTAAATTTTCAGGCTCTGTGTCAATAGGAAAATAAAACTAAAGTAGAGAAGAGAAGAAGAGAGACGAGAGAACAAAAGAAAGTCCTAGCACTATAAATGCAAACCTATAAAGCAACAGCAGATGCCACAAAGTGCAGCCTCCAACCTCTCTCTTGCCAAGACTTCTGCTGTGTTCTGAGCTGGGTAAATATTTCCAGGTCTGGATAATGTGTCTTTGTTTGGGCCCAGACTCCAGGGGCTCTCCAGGTGAGTAGAGAACTCACGATGCTGAGACTGCTGGGGCAGCACAGACCCTGTATTTTCCCATCCTGCCTGCTTCATCATAATGCTTAAGTCACACCACTGCAAATGCCCTGAGACACTTTGAAGACAGTGAATTAAAACAGATTTAAGATTGTCTGAAAAAGAATCATATATTTTCAGGTGGAAAAAAAAAAGATCTTAGGCGTCAACTAAAGGAATCTTACCTATGAGGAAATCAAGGTTTAGAGAAGTTAAGTGACTTTAAGAGGATGCCCATGCATTGAACTACAACAGCAGCAGAATTAGGACTAGATATTGTAGGGAAGTGGAAGTAAGGAAAGGGAACTCATGTGCACTATGTGAAGGGCAGCTTGTGGCTCGTTTGTTTTCTTTTGTGATTTGGATCCTCTGATGCCTTCATTATGTAATGAAACTCAATTGCTTCTTGCTATCAAATGACTATTTGACTGGGAGTGGTTATATTTTTCTATATCTTTCAATGCATAGGAGAAATCGGTATCACACATATAGATGTGAACCCTGCTTTTTCTTACCATGCTCAACTTCATGACAGCAGAGGATCTCTCTCTCTCTCTCTCTCTCTCTCTCTCTCTCTCTCTCTCTCTCTCNTGCTGCTATACTCTAGTTCCCAGCACACTGCCTGGTGCATTATCGTTTCAATAGTTTTCGAAAGAAAGAATGGTTACATGAATGAATAAGTGAATGAGTCCTTGGAAGGAAAGCTATTTACAGCAGAGATGTGTCTTACTTTACACATTCCTGTAAATGTATGTGCAGACCTGACTTGGGTAACTCACATGAAATACGATTTCTGTAATGTGTCAATTTTGCATCCAAATGAACAGTAGTCATTCTGTTAAGTCATTAGGATTTGAACCCAACACATACAACCAGAGGTGGAGTTCTAGTGAAAGGAAATTTCTGAAAGTAAAATGTTCTTCATGTGTTAAGGAGGACTAATAACCCCTTACACACCTGTGTTGTAAGCTTGGCTAAGTGTGTGCAGCTTTGTTATTGCTGCTTTTCTAGCTGGAGTCATCTGTTCAAAGGAAAAGGAGAACCACCAACAACAAAGAACAAAAGCAACACCTCTGAGTGCTCTGAGGCCCTCCAGTAGTTGTGACAAGTGATTAAGAGCAGAACTGGGCTACGCCTCAAGAACCCTTGCTCTCCGCTGCTCCCTTGAACCCTGGGAGACTTGGTTTGCCATCAATTCTGCACAAAGTGAGGCTGTATTTTTCAGTTGAGAGGCAGCCGGGAGGACAGAGACAAACACCTTAGTATGTCAACCTTGAAGTACCACCTGGAGGGCGAGGGCCTTTCACAGTTTAATAGTGGACAGAATGTTATGGTGATGATCTGGGTCAGGTGGCGACTGAAGCAGTCACGAATCCTGAAACAACAGATGTCACACTGACAGCTGTAATATCCAAGACTTATTTTTCTCCTTCAGCAGCAGAACCAAATAATGAGTAACAACAGATCTGATCCTATGGAGGAAGCAACGCCTTTCCTTTCTTAGTTTGCTCACATTGGCTGTACAATATTAATTCCATACACCATGGGTGCGAAACCTCAAGCACTCAATGTTTCTTTAAGATATGAAATAGAGCACATGATGCTAAAAGTAAGTCTTTAATAGCTTTTTTAAAAAATAATTTTATCTTGGTATTCCTGTCACCACATTTTCCTTGAATCCCACTGAGAAAAATCATCTGGCTTTTAAAAGCCTACTGGCAAATTGGTAGACAATTACTGACAAAGAAGCTCTCTATCACTAGTGTGAAGTCCATAATATCATGACTGTAAATATGCCACAGAATTTTTAAATGGCCCAATATACTGGATAGTCTATGAGACTATAAATTTCATTGATTTATAAAGTACATAGAGTAACTTTACGATATTAAACAATGAACAGATAAAACTGTGTTAGCATAATACCTGGCATAGTAGACACTCAATAAATATTAAACAAATGAATAATGAGCGATCCAGAACTATTTCTGGAGCTTTAGGTAACTGTATCATTGCTCTTAAGTATTTATTACTAGCCCCCCTTTTTTCTAACCTTAAATACCATTCTACCTTTTTCTATATACACCTTCCTAATTAATCTTGTTCTAAACAATATGACACACTGTTTGTTTTTTATTTGTTTGTGTTTAAAATATATAGGGTGCAATAAAAGTAAATTAAATACCACGAGTTAAAAGAATTCTCAAGGAGAAACAAAAGAAAACAGCATCCTTTACACTAGACTTCTAAATGCCTTTTCCATCAGAAAAACAGCTCTGTGTTTCTCAAATGGTGTGGAATGGAGTGACCGTCCACTGCTGAGTGCCTCTGTCCCAGTGTGAGGTGTTATGACATCTTCTTGGGACTGATTCACAAGCTCCTCTGGAACTTGCTGTCACATTGTAGCCTCATTCTCAAATTGCATGGGCAGATATATCTCAGGATTTCCCTTCCTACCATGATCTGGACTACATTGGTAGGGCTCTCACTACCACTTTCCCTACCAGTCCCAGACAAATTGGGCTAAGGCATTGGAATTATGACTATGGGTTCCTGGTCATCCTAGTTTCTCTATGGTGGGAATGGGGAGCAAATTGATGAAGACATGGCTTCATATTGATGAGCATCATTCTCATGAAAATATTAATTGAGCATCTATAGTTTGTTGGGCTCTGGTGACATAGACAAATATACAAAACACACAATGTTTCCTTAGGAAACTAGAAATGAACTTAAGAAGATAACTGGCAAAATAAGGTAGTTCAAGACAACATCTCAAATGGATGACATGGGCAATAATTGTTGGAGGAAGGCTTGAATGCGGTAAAATGGAGTGGTTGAGCACATCTGGAAAGTTGGGGAGAAAAATAAGTTCAGACCAGAATTCTAAAGAAATTAAACCACGGAATGTCAAAAAGGTTTAATTCTATTTCAAACCAAAGTAGAAACCCTAAAAGCAAGAGTAAAGATCCTTATATTCATCTCTGGCCTATTCTAAACCAAGCAGTATGAGGAACTTCATAAAGACAAGTTTGATTGCGTATGATTGACACTGCAGAAACTTTCAAATACTGTTGGAAAAATAACCTGAACCCCTGGGAATCTCTGACACTAGACCCTCCTGCCTATCTGTGGGTGGCCCAATCTAATCATATGAGCGATTAGAACTGGATGTGGCAGGTCATAGCCTAGGTATGTCCTAGAAATATAACCAAACATGCAACATTACGAAGACAGAATGAGAAGGAAAAAAAAGATCCTCAGTGGGAAGAAACCCAATTTTAACCCTCTAGAGCATAGAAAAGCCCCACTATTCATTAAGGGAGGTCCCACCAGCTATTTTCTCAGGCAGCTTGTATTCACATTAATGAATGAGAGAGAATTTTAATGTGCACCTCTGAGAGAACTAAGAGCCCCAAAAAGTTCATTCCCCAGATCCCTCTGGGGTTTTTTTTCTTTTTTTTTTCCTTTCCCTTTTCTAGTGCATAGTAATGAGGTTTCATGGTTCTGTTGAGGTGGAGCAGGATAGCGGTGATGCGGAATAGCCAGGATCCACGTTCACAAAGGCTCAGCATGAGCTTTCCTTGATCTGGAATCTGGTACTTCCTCCAGTGCTTGTAACTCAGCCCCAGCCCCAGACTCTGTCCAAGGGGCCAGTGGGAGCTGAAACACAGCTCTTCATCGATGAGGTCGAGGGAACCCAGGCTACTCATGAGAACTACTCCCCCTTTGGAATAAATCTGCAAACACACCCCAACCTTGACCCTGGTATCCCAGCGTTTGATCCTAGTTCTTTAACCTCCTTTCTTCCCCCTGAATCAGAGAATAAACTTCTGCCAGACATTATAAGAAAGGCTTAATACAGAGAGCCAGAGGTCAGAATGTCAATCTTATTTTGCCCCAAAATATCCCTGAACTTGTAGGAATTCATATTTGTTTATGTTATAAATGCACTAAATGAGCTAATTATAGTGATCATAACTCACAATTAAAAACAAACACAGTTAGGAATTTCAAAGACTTTCAATATCTTTTCTTTAATCATTCACCCAGGCTCAAAATATGCATTTTTTAGATTAAAGCATTAAAGTTGCTAATTATATTCTCAGAACTAACAATTATTTCTTTACCCTTTTACTACCTTCTTCTGGCAACAAAAAATGTCAGCACTGATTTAATTTTTTTGTTATTATAGGATTAAAAGAAGTTTCTAAAAACGCAATTAAATTTGCCCTATAGCTAGAGTAACTTCCCTATCAGCATCTGAAACCTCTTCTCTAAAACAACAGCATAAAAAATGATTCAGGCTTTCTTGACTTTTGTGATACATTCCTTCGGTGATTATCTCCAATAACAACTCAACCGTTTTAATGAAACTCCCTGCACATCACGTCCTGGTGAAAGGTAGGACATATTAGATTAATAAAGAAAATGAAAGTTAAATTGGCTGTTGGAGTGTGAAGCCCTGCCCGTGTCATGCATGGGTTCTCCACCTTTGGGAGCCTAGTTCAACTTCAGCCCCAGGCCCTAAGTGAAAAGTTCAGTAGTCTTGAGTACATCCCCACTTAATATATCACAAAATCAATTATTTTATGGTGGTACACTTGGTAACCTATGCTCAGACAGAATCAAGTTTTGTTCCCGCTGGGGATTCACCAATTATCTATTCAGTGAATTATTTTCAGATAAAGCAGAAACACCTGCTGTCAGCAGAGGGAGTATCTGCCTACTATGGGTATCATTCTGAGCCTGACGTGTTATTGCATTTGTCACGTGCAGGATGGCACTATGAGACTTTGGATGAATTTATCACATTACGGAGATGCTTGATGGGACATTGGAGCATGATTCAGTGCCCAAAGTTAGAGCTAAAGCACTGTAGCAAAGAGCTACAAAATGAAGCCACAGAAAAATTGGGGAAGGGGGTAATCAAGTGTGCAGATACGGCAACTCATCTGTCTTGCCTTATTTCCAATAAGTCAGCACAAATAAAAATTGTGATAATTCAGCACAATTTCTTTTTACTGGCTATTGACCTGGGCCTGATTCAAAGTAAGAACCAAAAAAAGGTTCCATGGACTTTGATTCTGAGTTGGGGACAAAGATCAGGGTTGAAACAGGCATAATTGGTGAGGGACACTACCCCTAACCATCTACTCAGGTAGGATTTTAATTCTTTTAGGGTCTCTCTTCTCTTTCTCAGAAGTCAGTCAATCTCAAGATACTCATGGCAATTATTTTTCTTTTTTTTTTGCAAAATTAATAACACTATCTGAAAATGAAACAAAGAACAAACAAGCAAGGTATCTCTACAAGCTGACTTGAATTTCAAAATCTCAGAGAATTAACACATGACACCAGGACCCACGGTGAGGTCCAGAAGCTCACATGGAACATCTACTACCACATGCAGAGTATGGATTGGACAGACAGAAGGAACAGTACAGCATTAGGGAGGCCTCAATAGCCTGATATGGAGATACTGCCAAGTACCTTTCTATTATTGATAGGTTCTTCACTGGAATAATTGTCTATAGAAAGTAATATGCTAGAAACCATGGAGAACAGTATCATTACCTGGTTATGAGCACAGTTTCTAGAACCAGACAGATTTGGACTTAAATCTTATATCTACCCAAAATATCAGCTATGTTATATCACGAATTTATTAAACTATTTAAGCCTTATGTCCCTTAACCTCAAAATGAGAATAATGGTTCATAGGGTTATCATGAAGAGGATTGTTAATAATATATGTAAAGTCTTTGCATGATACCCATCACATAGCAAGTACTCTAAAAATTTTATCTGTGTGGTGGGGTGATTACTGTTACTGTTCTTGTGCTGTGGTTATATTATTTATAGAGAAGAATGAATGGTTTCTAGGACCAATCCATAAAATTTTTAGTTGAGATAAGCAGTGGAAGAAACTAATAGTGACTGAGCTTTAAACTGAAAGGAAAAAAGCAGTGGGTTTAGAACAGACATCAATCTTGCTACACAGACTCCAAAGTCAACTCTCAATTATCTTTGCTAATAGAAGAGAGAAAATAATCCAAAACAACAGCTGACTCAACAAGCTGGCATTTTTTTTAATTGAAATCTTATCAGAGATACAGGCATGCAACCTGTCAGCTTTTGCTCTAAATCTTGGCTCTGTGCTTGGTCCCAGTTGCTGGCAGCTGCCTCAAACTCCACTGCATCTCTGAGAGAGAACTTCACCTTCCTGGTGACTCAGTACCTTCTACCTGCCCAGCGCTCCATGGGTTCTGACCACTGAAGAGCTTCACTGGGCCTCAACCCCACAGGTATTGCTCAACCACCCTCTCCTAATCTCACTTCCTATTCCAACTTCTTAACTTATTTTTTTGAAGGCCAGAAGTTTTTCTCATCCAAGAACAAGACCTACTTTGAAAGACCTCACCATATCCTACAGGCATAACTTACATGAAGACAAATGAATTTACTCTGGCAAATACACTCACTCTGGGCCTGGCCTGTTTTCTGAATCTCTGAGTCCCAAGCTATAGCCTTATCCTCCCTGCCCCTCCCATCCACCACTGCTGTTGTTCCCTGATACTGTTCTCAGCCCTGGCTAGCACCATAAGCACAAGGGCATTGCAGGAGCCAACTTTGCTCCACTTCGTGGGCAGCTAGAAAAGAGGCAAGTGTTAGTGGGGATCTGATGGGAAAACGGAAGACAAGTTCATGCTGCTTATTCCTTAGCATGGAGTCAAGCAGAGTATACTTGAGAGAAACTTGGGGTAAATATCAGTTCTGCCAGCTGACCCCCACAAATGTTTGCCTCTTCTGTTATCTTGGGATTAATAGAACAGTTAGCTAAATCGTAATGATTTGACAGAAATCCATTCATTATACAAGTCATTATGCAACAATGATTTATTAAGTTATTTTTCTACAAATATTTATGTTAGCAGGTACTAAGCTAAGTCATGTGAGGAAGAGAAGCTAAGATATATACACAAATATCTAGACCAGCAGTTCTTACTCAGATGCAATTTTGCCCCCAAAGGAGATTTGGCAAAGTCCAGAGAAAATTGTGGTTGTTACACCTGGTGGGGCGAGTGCTACTGGCATCTGGGGAGTAGAGGCCAGAGATGCTGCTAAAATTTTACAATGCAGGAACAGGCCCCCATAACAAAGAATTATCTGACTTTAAATACCGTAGTGCTAAGGCTTAAAAGTCTGAACTTTATTATAAGGCATTGCAACTTACATTCAATATGAGCAATGGAAGGAAAAAACTGGAAGGAAGAGTGAGGGTCCTTCTGTCTGGAAGTCTAATCTAATCTGTGAAGGTCTAAAGAGGAAAGTAACATTTGACTGTGTCATGAAGTTTGGATGAGATTTTGAAAGATGAAGATTATGGTGTTACAGGAGATTAAGAATCGATTTTTATCAAAGGAAAGAAAAAAGTACAATTTTAAAAGTGTGTGAAGGTCTAAGGGGGCCTCTAATAGTATAAAACAGCTAGAATCACTTGAAGAGTAAGATGGAAAGGCCAGAAGAAGGTGACAACATCCTCAAGGCCCCAAACATCAGGCTAGATCATTTGCTTTACTATTGTCAGAGACTAGTCAAACCTGGCAAATGTTAAATTTTACAATATTAGGTCCTGGTGTGCATGTTCTGTTATTTCAGAGTCAGATAAATTTAGAGTTGAAAATGGATTGTAGATGTGTTTTGGTCTCATGTCCCCTTCTGACGGGTAAGGCAGCTGAAGCCAGGGAGAGCATGTGAGTTGACCATACCTGCAGTCAGTTGAGCCACAGCTGGGTTATCATTTGCCCTCAGCCAAATTCATTTTCCTTTTCACTCTTTGCTGACTCCAGAAGGTGCTACCTTATGCATTTTTAAGGCTGTCATTTGTGTAGGGTTGCCTGGCTCCCATCAGTGCTCCCATAAAGGACTCGAGATGGGCTAGCTAGAGAGGAAGGCTAGCTGACAACTGTCTGGTAAGCCTAGTCCAGTGAGTCTTCACTGGGCACTGAGTGCTGTGGGGGTGGATGCAGGGAACAACCTCATCCCCATGCCCAGCTGTCGGCAATGCAGAATCACTTGAAGATTTTCTTCAAATTCAGCTTATTCTCTTAGTGATTTTAATATACCACCGAGGGGTATCCCAAGTTGTTTACCTTTAAATTTTTAGAATCATTGCTTTAGAGAACCATTGCTGAGTGGGAAAATAGATTGACAGTCAGTTCTATAGGTTTTAACAGGGAGCCTAATCTACTAGACTCTGAGGTGACTTTATAGTTCAACTCACCTGGATTCCTGTGTTTGAGAACAGTTTTATCTCTGTAATACTATTAGTGTAGTTTCCTGACATACGTTCTTCCAGAGTTTTCCAAAGTTCTACATGATATACTTATTTTTTAAATAAAACTGAATGAAATTTATTTCATTTTGAGCCCTTCCCCCTTTGTGAGGTATAGTCACTATCTTTCAAAGTTCAAGAGTTCACATAGACAAAAACAAAACAAACAAACAAACAAAAACCAGAGGTGTTCCTTCATGGTGAAAAAGTTGGGAACTGCTGAGCTTAGCATGCTTCTCACATTTTTCTCTATTAGGCCATGTTTAGTTAACAATCTTCTATGTGAAAACTTAACCACTGGGTTAACAGAGCCAGACTCACTTCAGATCTTGGCTCTGGCGCTAATTAGTGATGTGACCGTGGGCCCACCACGTAACTTTTCTGTGCCTCCCAGGAATGTCAAGATAATAAAATTAGTTAATATACGTAAACTCCTTAGAGCAGTCTGGTTCACAGTAAATATTATTCCAGTGTTAACTATTTTTTAAAAGAATTTTGAGACACATATCGATTTTTCTTTATGTGCTTCTGGTCCCTGGCTCAAGGGTAAAACCCTGAAGTCATCTTTTCCCTTCGTGTCCGTACCTACAGTCTTCTCCTTGGTGGCCCTCTAGGAATCTTGGAGAGCTATAATAGTCACTGCATGTGATCAGCACACAGGCCCTAACCAGGAACTCTGCAGTCCCCAAGAACCATGAGTTCCTTTGTTATTTGTCAAATCCTAACATAGATCTTCTACTTATTCATAACAAAGCTACCTGTGCAGTGTCTGCCACATAGTAAGCCATTGTTAGTGAAATCATGGATGAAAATTTCTGGGGTTTTTTTTATGTAATTATATCAATAGTATGGTTATCTTATTCTGAAAAGAAGATCAATTTGCGTTAATGCATGTTTCTTGTGAATAAAAATGAGGAAGTAAATTAATCATGTCTTTAAAAACACCAATTGTTCTGTAGACTCAATTTTTTAAAATAAGGAGTCCATGTTGGAGTGGGGTTGGGGGTGGGGGGGCAGCGCTAATCAAAGGAGTCCTTGCTGACAAAAAGGTTGGAAACTGCTGGAGTCTAATGTGTTCCCTGCATTTCCCACCCCCTCCCTCTTTCTTTGTATTTGATTAACTATGTCTATGAAATAATAAAAGCATAAAAGTCTCTGCAAAGCAAGCCCAGTGGTGGAATGGGAAGCACTGTGCCTGACTGGTACAGAACACAGGGTTGAGATGTAATCTTCTATGTGCAAACTTAACGTGCCAGTTGTTTTATTTAGGGAGAGCGGAGGAGGGATGCATTAGAGAAAGTCCACAGCATAATTAGGAAACAATCAACACGTTTTTCTTGCTGTCCTAATTTTTTCTTCACTTTAAAATGCTCCATTGAGTTTAATTAAACTTGCCCTAGGCTTATAAGCCTAGCAAACTGGGGAACAATTTTTTTGAAACTCGCTTTCCTGTCAGAAAGGTTTTCTTCAAGCTGGCCCAGTACTGCTGAACTTCAAGGTTTCAGGGGATGTTAAAACAACTGTAACCAAATTAATGTAAATTATCTTTATTTTTTCCTATTGATTTGAGCAGAGGGGACGGGAGCTGAGCACTGCCAAACAAAAGACTTCTACAAGGTTTTTAAGGATGCTTGGTTTGAGAAGCAGAGAGTGGGAGGATGATTTCATGTGGTTATGAAGGGGAGAGAAAGAGGGATAAAGGGGCCATGCCAGTGATGAATAATTACTGTTATTTCAGTGGACTGCTATTATGGATGCCATTTCCTTCCTTCTTTTTGGATGTCAGCATCCTATATGCTTTGGGGAATCACCACCAACCCATTCCATGTGGTTCCAGTGGGACTGTCATCTATTTTGGTCTACCTTCCAGCAGCCCCTACTCATCTTTGCAAAGAGCTAGATGGGCATGTGACTAGACTAGAAAGAATCTCTCTCTCTCTCTCTCTCTCTCTCTCTCTCTCTCTCTCGTAAATTTGGATCTTGATTAGAGAGACACATAATCAGGAGTTTAACATAAATCATACTAATGTCAAGGCCATGTAGAGTTTGTCCATGGTCCCTGGCTAAAATTCTTTAGAGTCACTTAGATTCCAGTCCTTTCTGAACCCTGGGTGCTCAATTTTTGGTTAGGTTTTGTAAGTTCTCCAGTATTTGTATTAGTTAGATTTTACTAGTTGAGCTAAGGCAATAGGCAACTCTGAAATCTCAAGGGCTTACAACAACACAAATTTATATCTCACTCATGTTAAATGTTGCCTGCAGGTTGCCTGAAGCTCTGCTCCATATACTCTTCACTCCAGGTTGAAGGTATAGCTTCTATTTGGAAAACTGCCACTCTTGTAGCAGACAGAAAAGCAGAATAAGGAAATCACAAGGTGCCTGCTAAACCTGCTTGGGAGTAAGTAACATGTGTGATTTCCTCTCATCCCCACTTGGCTCAGGAAAGGATAATGCCAGAAGGGCTAGAAGTATAATCCTCATCCTGGGAGGAACCTAATAGAGACCAGAAGAGAGGGGCAGAAGACACTTTTGAATAATAATACAATTTAACTCCAGTTCTGCCAAATATTAACTGTGCAAATGTGGGGAAATTATTTAACCTTCCTGAGCTTCAGTATCTTGAAAGCAACGCTCAACAATATCCAGTCCCTTTTTTGGGGTACATGGAAAATTGGAAACCCTTGGGTCCTTTTAGTTGAATGGGACCATCTAATCATTCCCTGCCAATGAAATAAGCAGACATGGTAAGTATTACTCTCAGGATAAGACAGTGATGAGCCATGTGAGATTCTCCAGAATAAAATAGCCATGGAGCAGCAGAGAAGACCAGAAGATTCATTGGCACAGGTGTAATATATTGAAGTCTCCGTCAGCTTGGGTCTCTGAGTGACTATGTAAAGCAGAGTAAAGTTCCTGCTGTTGACCCAAGATGAACATCGTAGTGAGAGAAAAATGACAATATTTTATTATGCTAAGTCATGGATGTTGAGGTTAATTCATTTCTTCAACATAACCTAGATTTTCTGGACTTGCAAGAAATTGGTAGTGATATTATAATAATCATTTCTGGTATTAAATTCCTCCCTGCTTGAAATACCTAGAGTGGCTTCTGTTTCCTACACTGATATTACTGATATAGGTTTCTAACCCAATCAGGATATGATGGAAGAAACGTCTTGCACAAAGTAATGCCTGAACTATGTCTAAAAGAATGAATAGAGTAAGTGAAGTAAAGGAGAAGGGGCATTCCAGGTAGAGTTTATAGCATGGACAAAGGCACAGAATCAAAGCACAACATCATGGGGATCTATCTTCAACTCCATTTGCTGAAGTTATATAAAATTAAGTTTGAGAGATAAATAAGAAATTTTGTTCTCTGTTAAGGAGATTGGAGATGGAATATCTTGTGTCTAATGTTAAGGTGCATAAAGTTACATTATGTCAGCACAATAAAAAAAGTCATTGAAAGATATTAAATGGGAAAGAAAGGAGGTGGTTACACATGAACTTTAGATGAGTCCCTCTATCTGCTACATGAAAGATAAATTTGGGGGATGAGTTAGTGGATAACTGAATAGTAGGAAGCCATTTAGAAAGATATTTCAGTAGTCCTGGAGAAAGGTAATGAAAACCTAAACTATAAAAGTAGTAGAGGACATCGGACTAGGGAATGAATCCCAAAATATTCTGGATATTCAATCAAGAACACTTGATGAACAATTGAGCATGGTAGTAAAAAAAGGCAGGGAAGGGGTGAGGGAGATTTAAGAATGATTCTCAGGTTTTTAACTTGGATGACTGGACTAGTGAGATCCCTGAAGCTGAAGAGGATATTATTGAAGTAGCAAGTTGTAGAAATTAATTCAATTTTGTGTTTATTGATGTTGAAACATTAAGAGCATATCCAGGTAGATATATCTATTTTAAAAATTGGATACCTTGGTTTAAAACTCAGAGTAGAGCTCTAGATTGAAGACATAAATTTGTAGATTTCAGAATCATCAGCCTATAAGTAGCAGCCAAAACCATGGAAGGGGGTGAGATCAATCAGGGAGATTTAGAAGAGCCATCACTTGGGAGAACATCAAAATTAAGAAAAGAATTAGCCAGAAAAGGAACAGGAAGGATCAATAAAAACCAAAGAGAGTATGGTGGTACAAACTGATAATAACAAAATTGTCAAATGCAAAGATTTACCAAGCTATGATGTGGAACATGTCCATTGAATTTGAAAATAATAAAGATCACGGTATGATTTAGGAGGGAATTAGAAATCAACAATTGGAAACAGTTGATTTCTTAAAAATAACAAGAGAGGCATGCAATAGGATAGAATTTTAAACATGTGTATAAGTTACAAAAAATGAACCTTAAAAAGAAAAGGTAGAAGATACTTAAGGTAAAGGTGAGGAGAGATGGATTAAAGCCTCAGAGAGAAAATAAGGAATCAAAGTCAAGGACAAAGGTGGAGGATTAGCTTAGAATAGAAGAGACACAACATCCTATATAACAGGGAAAAAATAGATGAATCAAGTTGTGGATAGAGAAATATATTGTTAAGGATTAAGATATCTCATTGCATTTAAGGCAGTCTTTTCTGGGTGCTCACAAGTTTAGAGAAGGCCATTGTAGTGGAAAGGTGAAATAAAAAGTAGACAAAGACCTGTAGAGGTGAGCATGACAAGAAACCATGAGTTTAGAATTTTTGCATGGATACTACACATGGGCTCATGATATTACTGAACTTGGGGTGGAAAGAAGGACAGCAGGGACTGTTTCAAAGTCTCCAGTGATCCAAAATTAGGGAGAAGTGGTTTGGTAAAAATCACGAATATCAGGAATTTCAAATGACTAGGGAGTTTTACTGGAGAATAAAGGATTGGTAATTTAGAAGGCACATGAGAAATGAGGAGAAAGCTGAGTCCATTCCAGTTTAAGCCAGAAGAGTCCCAGTCTGGATGATAAAGTGTATAGTTACCCTGGCTAAAGGGAAAATGAACCTTGAAGGAACACACGAGTTTCAACTAAGAAAGGAGATGGGAAAAATATTTTGTGTATAGGTACAAGATGCAGGAGAGAAGGTTAATGGGAGCATGTTCTGGTGATATATTTATACAAATGGTTCCTCAGTCCCTCCATAACTGACCACACAATGCTACCCTCCTTCCAATTTGCTCTGGAAGTTCTCCTCAATAGCTTGTTATGCTCATTTCTTCCTCGCGGCTCTAACCTCAAAGGCCTTGACCAATCTCTCTACCTACATCTCAATCTTTCAAGACCCACTTTGAATCCTAACTTTGTCATTAAGCCTTTGCTGACTGTAGCAGTTTTTCTGGACTTCTCTATTCCAAGAACCACTATATACTTTTGGAGATGTCAGTGATGGGATACATCAGTATATGCTGCTTATGAACCTCTGTGTTGGCCTTGTTCCTCTGAATAGCTTGCAAGCTCTTAGAGCACATGATTTGTGTGGTGGCTATTTATTGTGTTGTCTTCGCCTTAGCACTCCATCCCTATTTCTCTTGAGGAACTGCCTCTTGCCAATTTTAACTATGTTTCTTATGGGGAAATCAAAATAGCTAGTTAAAATATTGTACCCTGCCCCTCCAATCCAAAAATAGCTAGGTGACCAAAGTTGGGCCAATTGTAATACTGTGTCCTGGTAGTCATGGTGATTTGTCTATAGGGTAACTAATAAGAATTATTCTCTATAATTTTTTAAATGTGAGCTGGAAGGAAAGGGAAGATCTCCTTTCTGTTTTGTATTCAAGCCATTAGGATGGGGTTTCCTAGCTGACGGCAGGTATGTTCTGTGATGGTTAATTTTATGAGTCAATTTGAGTGGGCCACAAGGCACCCAGACATTTGTTCAAACATTATTCTGGGTGTTTCTGTGAGGGTGTCTTTGAATGATGTTTACACATAAATTGGTAAACTGAGTAAAGCGGATTGCCTTCTCTAATGTGAATGGGGCCCATCCAATCAGTTGAAGGACTGAATAAAACAAAATGATTGACCCTCCTCCAAGTAAGAGCGATTTTTTTTCCTGCCTGATTGCCTTTGAATTTGACACCGGCTTTTTTCCTGCTTTCTGACTCAAACTGAAACCTCAGCACTTCCTGGGTCTTGAGCCTGTCAGCCTTTAAAGTGGAACTACACCATTGGTTCTCCTGAGTCTCCAGCTTGCCAATTCACCCTGCAGGTCTTAGGACTTGCCAGTTTCCATTACATGTATATTATATATAATATATGGTCTATATAATATATCGCCTATATAAAATACTATATAAAATACTATATACATAATATATTATATATTATATATTGGGTTATCGGAAAAGTCATTTTTGCATTTTTGCAACGAAAAACATAGAAAAAATATGTCATGACTTTCCCGACAACCCAATAGATACATATATATATATATATATATATATATATATATATATAACATAATTTATCTTATTGGTTCTGTTTCTTTAGGGAACCCTCACTAATACATGTTCCTGCTATGTGGAAAAAGAAAATTAAACTGAAAAGAGGCAGAAAGAAAGAAAGACAGGACTTCAAGACATCAAATTCCAGGTTTTTATTTCATTTTTTATATTTCTGGTTCATGAGTATTGCTTCCTTTACTTCTATGAGTTAACTCAGAGTTTTCTGATAAATTCCCTTTGGTGCCTTAATTAGCTTGAGTTGTGCTTCTGACTTACAACTAAAAGAACCCTGACTAAAACATCTATGTTTTATATGTCTATATCCCCTTTAGCATCAGGACTGTGAGTATAATTGATTTGATACAAACTCAAGTGATTGATTGATTGATTGATTGATTGATAGTGGAATTAGGTTATTCCTTGGCTCAGTTGGTTCCTGCTAAATTCCTGGCTTTTTCAATATTTCATTCTAAGCCCTATAATGAAGAGAATTTATCCAGACTGCTCCAAGGAAATAATACAACTCTGAGAGGACAGGGCCCCTGGCAATAAATAGCCTAGATTCACAAAGAATAAAACAGATTAAATAGAAACTTTTGGACTGAAATCACAAAGATTATATTAGCTAAAGGAAATGTGGTAGATGATTATTTGATCTTGTATCTTGATAGTACACATAGTAAAGTGCTGGATACAGTATCTCATGAAATCTTGATAGCTAAATTAATTTAAATTGGCTGAATGCATAGATCTTAAATATCTAAATACAGCAAACATGAGATAAATATAATATAGCAAGGTGTCAAGTTGGAATGTGCAGACTGGCTAATCAGATAATGGAGGATCAGTTTAACTCTGTTTTATTGGACCATCTTCACTAATAGCATCTGAAGGGGTAAACAGCATGCTAATGAAATCTTCAAAGCATTAGTAAGAACACTAATAAATTAAACAAAGAACTTAAAGAGATATGAGAGATACGCCAAGAGAATAAAACTTAGAATATTAGAGAAGAAAATATTCCTCAGATCACTTAGGTCCCAAATGCTTAATTAGAAATAAAAGTGACGAAGTAAGATAAAGCTGTCTGAATTAAAAAGATTCTATAGATCATTGCTAAATACACTGGAGTGAAAGGTGATGTGATAGCCCAGAAAGCAAGTATGGGTGGTATAGTGTGCATTCAGCCTCACAGTGTGTTTTAATAGGAAAAATGCATTTCTAATTTTAGGGTTGGGAATGACTTTTAAGACACAAAATCTAAAGAAAGATACATAAAAAAGAGATTGTTCAACATAATGACTATATATCATTAAGTATATATTATCAAAAACAACAAAATATAACAAAGGGATAAGAATGACTCCATGAAAAAAAGCTTTTCACATCCCCCCAAAATAAGAAGTAACCCAATGAACAAATTGTATGACAAAGAACACTCAAAAGGCACCAAGTAAATCATCAATAATGTATGAAATATTATGCTCTTATTAATAAAGAAAGAAAAAAAAAGATATGACACTTTTGATCTTGAGAATCAACAGGCCTAGAAATAAGACACTTTTGCTTGCTGCTAGTAGAAATAGTATTAAAAGCTACACTTACAGAGTGCTTAATATCACAGCGTAACTTTTAGGGATGGGAATTTGGATGGGAGGATAAGAGGAATGTATTAAAATAGAGTAGGCTAATCTGCAATAACAAAGCGATCCCAGACTTTTAATGGCTGATGAAAAGGAAGTTTATATATTCATGTAATTGTCCTGGGCAGGTGTTCAGTTTGGTGAAGTAACTTTTACCTGGTCGTCCTAGAAGCCAGACTCTCTACAGTCTTTTTGCTCCATGTATATCATCATCACTTGCGTCCAGCGGAAAGGAAACTGAATGGTGGACATGAGTGAGACATTTTTATATGCATTCTGGGAAGTGGCATGCAGCATTTCCCACTGGAGGGATTGCATTCATTTGGCCACACTGAGTGTAAAGGAGAGTAGGAAATGGATTGGGTTGTTGGAAAAGTCATGAGGCATTTTTGCAATGAAAAACATAGAAAAAATACGTCATGACTTTTCCGACAACCCAATAGTATAGCTGTATGTTCCAAGACACAATACAGGTAGGTAGCCAGCTAGTTATCTCTGCTACAAGAACTGAAGAGTCAAGGTATTGAGCTGAAATGGAACCCATTCACTGAAGCCCGAGGAATGAGCAGCTCCAGAAATAAATGAACAAACTCACATTTATTATCCCCTCAGGGCACCTCTCACAACATTCCCATTTGATCCTCATAACAGCTCTGTGAGATGAGTATGAATGTTATCATTAGGAAAATACAGGTCTGAAAGTTTTTTAAAATGTCTATAAGCCACGCAGCTAGTGAAGGGTGGAGCTGAACTCAGGTCTGATTCCACAGACAGTTTCTTTGTTTTTGAGCCTACAGCACAGTAGATAGAATAAGCCCTTAAAGACTTCAGCAGCTCCATGTTATTCTACAGAAACCACGTATAATCCATCACTAACTTTATACTCATTCACTTTCAAGTCAACATTTAGCAAGAGCTTACTATTTGCTGGGCTCTGAACTAGTCAAATTAATATGTATTAATATGCATCAATCCCTTCAACCATCCCTGAGGGAGACATTTTTTTGTTTCCCACTCTGTGTAAATTTAGAAAAAGTCACACATCAAGTGGACAGCAAATCCAGATTGCAAAGCTTAAGCTCCTCACCATTAATACCAAGCATCATCCACTCACATACACACTCCTCCCCAGTGAGACTTCATGGAGGCTCACAGCACTGTGAGATTCTTTGAGAGATGGCCAGATGTACAAAACCTACTCTCTGCTCTCAACAACCTGACAAGTTAGTTGAGGGACACAAGCAGATACATACATTCACATACACATATTCACTACACGCACATACTCACTACACACACATAGATGGTGTGTATAAGCTGGAATGATGGGATACCAACAGTTTGTATTTCACAGAAGACCAAAATGAATGTATAGTGGAGATATAGGGAAAGATTCTTAGAATCAAGAGGGCTTATAATGGGTGGACTGAGAGGGACTTGGAAGCATGGGGAGAGGAAACATGGTAAAGGCATTCCAAGGTGAAAGACCAGAGGAGCCCAGCCAGGGAAGCTAGTAACAGGGTTGGTCCCATGTGTACAAGTCCCATGGACCATTACCTGACCAAGATTACTGGTGAAATTGCAAGCAAATAAGCAAATACAGGTTAAGAACGTCATCTTGGCTCTGTTCTTTTCCCTTCTAGGGTGAATGATCTGAATCCTATCTCAAAGTCTCTTCTGAAGGGCTCTAATTCTTGGTTTGAAATAATTTCCCCTCCCCCTTTTATGAATGTGCAAATGTTATAATGTAAACGTGAACTGAAAAGCTCTTTGTCTTCAGAGACTGAAATATATTGCCCTAATATTAGTTGGTGATATTTCTCTTGAAACAGCTCAACAGCAGTTTTCCTATTAATATATGTATAGTTTACTTTGTTTAGTGAGGCTTATGCCAAGAGATTTTACTGGAAGGGAGATCAGGGACCCCAGGGAGAAGGGAAGAAGAGACTTCCTTGGCTCCAAAAATCTTATTTTAATGTGTGGTCAAATTGCCTTCTGCCCAGAAATGACATGAGTACATTTTTAAGAAAACTTTACCATGATTTCACAGGCAGTGTGTGGGGGTACTTTTTCTTTACAAAAAAATGATTCTAAAAATTCCCCTTGACTGAGAAGAGCATAACTTTAGGAAGAAATGCTCATACGGTATTGACAATTTTTAAACCATAAGGCAGCCTGTTTAAATCAGATGTTTATTGAAATTTTACTCGGCATAGGAACTATTCTAAATACTTACTAGCCAACTCAGTTTGGGTTCCAAAGACCCCAGCCAAGAATTGGAAGAGACCCTTTCCCATTGGTAAAATAAAACTACCCTCTTCTATTCTATTCCAGGCATTCACTGATTTAATACATATTTATATTTTTCCAACTATGAGACAGGGAACTTTTCTAGGTATCAGTATTACAGTAGTGAACCAAAAAAGACAAAGTGATAAGTAACCTAGACTATGGCACACTCTGAGAAGCAAAATAGCTCAAGTTAAGGGCGTAAAGGCATGGATGGGCATGTTATTTAGAATGGACAGGGCAGGGGACTCCTCCAGCACGATGTGAGAAGAAGTGACCTGAAGGAACTCAGCAGGTCTCTGCATATTTAAGAGAATGACATTTTAGATAGAGCTCTGAATAAGTTCAAAAGGCCTGAGGGAGGAACATACTTGGAGTGACAGGACCGAGGAAGGCAATGTGGCTAGCAAACAGTAACCAAGGAGAAAGTGGCAGGAAGTGTGTCAGATAGGAAATGGGGAACCACGTCAACATGGATTAGCTTTACTCTGGGTAGTGTTGAAAATCTTAGACTGTTTTGATCAGAGAAGTGATATAACTTGCTTTTAAGTTGTTTTAGTTGTTATTTTGAGAACAGATGGTGGAGGGGCAAGGGCTGTAGCAGGTAAACCACATAAGGGGGCCATGGTGATAATCCAGGAGAGAGAAGATGATGGCCTGAACCCAGGGAATGTGGGAATAAAAGTGGGATAGAGTTGGTGAAAGAGGTAATGTTATGGATACACAATTGACCCTTCAAAAACGTGGGTTTAAACTGCGTGGGTCCAATTACTTGCAGATTTTTGTTTTTCAGTAAATACATACAGTACTGTACTTGTATTTTCCTTATGATGTTCTTAATAACATTTTATTTTCTCTAGCTTACTTTATTGAAGAATACAGTATACAATAAACCTAACATACAAAGTATGTATTAATCAACTGTTTATATTATTGGTAAGGCATCCATTCCATTAATAGTAAGCTCTTTATTAGTAATTAAGTTCTTGGTGAATCAAAAAGTTATACGTGGATTTTTGACTGCCTCAAGGGTTCGGTTCCCCCAAGCCCTGCATTGTACAAGGGTCAACTATATTTGAAAGTAGAACTGATAGAACATCTTGGTGGATTGGATTTAGAATATGAGAGAAAAAATACAAATCAAGGATGAATCCAAGTTTTGGGACCTGAGTAATTGAAAATGGAGTTGTAATTTAATGAACTAAGGAAGAAAGGG